GAGGACAGAACGTCAAGGGCCCCATGTCCAGCCTCTGGGCAGGATGAGTGACCTATTGAAGCATGCATCTTCTGCCCAGCCTTCCAAGGAGCTTATCTCCCCACACCAAGGTTGTGCAGCCCTGTCCCCAGCGCTCCAGGGAGCAGGCTGGCAACCAACAAGGGCACTGCCCACGGATCGCCTCCTGACTCAAGGTCTTGCAGCTGCCAGCAAAAATTCTCCCTTCTTGTCAACGTGCACCTCCCCAGCTCGAGCCTATATATCTCCCACCGACAAGCTGCGACCTCCCTGACCCAACTCCTTGGGTCTCAGAACCGCCCAGGAACTCAAGATGCCCCTGTCCCTCTCTGCTCTCCCGCCCCTCCCGGGAGCTCTCCCCTCCCTAAGAAGCCGCTCTGAACCTCACGTTCTGTGTCTCAATCCTATCTCCGTCCACTGTCTCAGTGCGGACCTCTCATCTTGGTGCTGAAGACCCAGGACCGGCAGGAAGGGCCTCTGTGCGGCCTGGCCTCTCTGGTGGGTGCACGGCCCCGTCCTCCGCTTGCACGGACCCCTGAGGCCTGTCTGCACCAGTGCTTCTCTGGGCTGTAACCAAGTGTGGCCACCATCCCCACTGGACGTCGAGTCCCGCTGGCCAGGACTCGTTCCAACATTCTCTGCGACCTGGACAGTTTTGTCGCCAGACTCAAGGATGGACAGGTTCTCTCCGTTCAGGCTTTGGTGCCCCCCGTGAGGAGGCTGGAGCTGAGGGCCCTGTCAGGGTCCATGCACCATTTCCCTCCTAAATCTCTCCCAGATAGAAAAGCGCTTGGGAACATCTTCTACATACATTAAGGAGTTCCGATAGCTCACCCAGGCTTATGACTTAACCTGGCGCGACCTCTACATAGTCCTCACTTCCACCCTCACCCCTGATGAGCGAAAGTGGGTTGTACAGCCGCTCAGCAACATGCAGCTCAGCTCCGGCTCACAGAGCCACCATGCCCACGGTCCTCAGACCTTCCCAGGGAAGAGCCAGATTGTATCCATCAAACAGACACCCGAGCTGGGCGTGAAGGCAGGGCCCGCTGAGACGCATGACACAGTACTTGCTGGCCGGCTTACAAACCGTTTCTCACAAAGCCGTAGACTTTGACACGTGGCAGGGAATTTCCCAGCAACCGACTGAGAACCGGGCAGTTTCCTCTCCGCCTAACTGAAGCCTTGACCCAGCACGCTGGGCTAGACCCACCTCTCCAACGGGGGCTACTGTGCCGGCTATCGTTTTATAACAGTCAGCCACCGACATGCAATAAGAAACCTCAGAATGGCCCTCAGACCCCCATCCGTGACCTGGTAAACATGGCATGTAAGGCTTTAATGCCTGAATAAAAAACAGGATGAGGCAGCTTACAAATCCAACAAGGGGCATCCTGGGGACCCCAAGTCTTGACTGTGGCCCTGAGGCGGCTGGAGGGAGGGGTCAGAAGACTTCAGGAAACAGCAACTTCAACCCTAACGCTAACCGCCCGCCCCTGGGACCCTGCTTCACATGCAGCCAGGAAGGGCACTGGGCTAAGCGTTGCCCACGTCCCTGGCCACCCACTAAGCCATGCCCATCTACAGGTCAGCTGGGCCGCCGGAGAAGTGACTGCCCCTCGGCCCAACCTCCCCTTCCCCAGTCTCGGTTTTGGGACTCGATGGTGGTCCCTCCAAGCCTTTCGTCCCCCCACCTTTAATGACGCCTTTTCTTGAACCATCCCCCTTAACCCAGCTTGTCAGCATTGTTTGCCTTTACCTGCAGCCTCTCCTGAAACAGTTCTAAAGCAGACACAGCCCAACTCCCTTAACTTGTCTCTCCCTCCAAGACACACGTATGTTGTTCCTCTGCTGTTTACGCCTGTGCCCAACCCCACCGCTCAGAGATGAACTCTAAACAAACACTAAGTCACA